TCCTCAGTACCACGATACACAGAAAAAGTCAGAAGTGGTGCTGGGGCTCAAGTGAAGAGTCCTAGCTTTGAGCAAAAGAAGCTCAGGGACAGCGCCCATGCCCTGAGTTCAAGCCCCAGGACTGTCCAAAAAACAAAACTAAAACTATTCTTGCTGTATGAAATACTGTATGACAAAAATCTTTTTTTGGGGGGGGGTCTGGTTGTGGGGCCTGAACTCTGGGTCTGGGCATTGTCCCTCAGCTCTTCAGCTCAAGGCTAGCGCTCTACCACTTGAGCCACAGTGCCACTTCTGGCTTTTTTCTTTTTGCTTATGTGGTGCTGAGGAATCGAACCCAGGGCCTCAGGCATGCAAGGCACGCGCTCTACCACTGAGCCATCTTCCCAGCCTCTGTATGACAAAAATCTTATTAGGCAAATCTTTAGACTGCTTTATGTGTGAGAAAAGGCAAAAAAGTACAACTTAAATTTTAAAAGCTAAATACTAGCCTAGCATCCTATTGATGTGCTCCTCAGGCTTAGTGTACTGGGTGTAAATTGTGGACTCCCAAAACAACACTGCAGCTGGGTCCTTATGCCTATAATCCTAGCTACTTAGAAGGCTGAGATCTGAGTATCTAGCCTAGGTTGAAAAAAGCCTATGAGACTCTTTATCTCTAGGTAGTTAGCAAAAAACAGGGATGGAGATGTGGCTCAAGCAGTAGAGTTGTCAACCTTGAGCAAAAAAGCAAAGCCAGCTGAATGCCATTGGCTAACACCTGTAATCCTAGCTAATCTGGAGGCTGAAATTGGGATTGTGGAAGTGGCACTGTTGCTCAAGTGGTATAGTATTAGCCTTGAACACAAAGAGGCCCAGGATTGAAAAAAAGAAAAAAAGAAGCACCAGGCCCTGAGTTCAAGCCCCAGTATTCACACACAAAACAAAACCCTATCACCAATTCCACTTCATGCTTTGTCAATTCTCCAGCCTTGCAACTTCAGACATAACTACTGTTTGCTTTAGTTTAAGTGCGGGATACTTTTTAGTACCTAAGTCATAGAACTGACTTTAATACTGCACAGTAGAAACATGTAGCTCTTAGAAGAGTGCCTGGCACACAAGAAGGGCTACAGTAAACATTCACTGCCGGGTCACTACAGTTACTGCTCCATCTGTCTCGGTTAAAATGCCAAGGCATTTTTGGCTAGAAAAAATTATGACATCTGCTTCCTTGCCATTCAACATAACAATCTTGATGAAAATGTTTTCAGCATTTCGGGAGAGTAAAAGGTTAAGTTCTGAGACAAGGAGAAATGAGTTCATGTGTATTTCTAGCCTTCCAGTCCAGATGAGAGAATGTTTTTGAAAGACTTCCAGATGTGGAATGTGGGCCCTGAGAGCCAATAGAGGCAAAAGCAGAGTCCTCCATGGTCTCTGACTCACCTCCTCTTGAGTGGCAGCTGATAGTGTCCAGTGAGGAGAATGTCTGGAGCTGCTACCTAGGGGTCACTCCTGGCATACAATGCACTATTGACAAGTGCACTACTAATCACACATTTACATTGTCTCTTATTACCTACTTATTTTTGCTCTCTGCCTCTGCCAGTATCTAAACACCCTCAGCTCAACACCTAATGCTGTTCTTTGTGTATTGCACCTGAGGACATGAATGCCATGAGCTTTTTGATATTACAGTAGCTGGTATATCATTTTTGTTTTAGGGTTGGTTTTTTTTTTTTTTTCAATGCTAGAGAACCTTAGGTAACTGGCTGGATCATACACAGGTACAAATAGCATTCCTCAAAATCTGGTGAAAGGGGAAATGTTCGTAGATTTGTGATTTAAAGGGAAGGGAAGTGTGTGTGTGTATGTTTTGTCCATCATGGAGCCTGAACTGTCCCTGAGCTCTTCAGCTCAAGGTGAGCACTCTACCACTTGAGTCACAGTGCCACTCTGGTTTTCTGCTAATGTGTTGAAGAATTGAACCCAGGGCCTCATGCATGCAAGACAGCCACTCTACCACTGAGCTGCCTTCCAAGCCCATGTATATATATTTTGAAGATCTATTTGTAGTCTAAATCTCTAGCAGTTCAGGTAAAATGACTTGCTGGGATGTGATGAATGGCTTCAGGCTCCTTGGGACAGTGTTAATAGGGAGAACTGAGGGTCTCTGGGGTTTTGAGCTTTAGAGGTTAGAGATGTGAATTAGCATTTGAGATTAGAGATGTGAATGGCTCCTTCCTGTGCATGAAAACTGAAGTGATGTGATGGCCCACTATCCATGGGCCAGGGGGCCTAGCATAAGAGCACATTGAAGCATGACTGTTATTCTGAAAAGTGCCAGGGTAGACGTATTTTCACTCTCACACTGGCAGAGTGAAGATTATCTTTCTCATCTTGCTTCTAAAGATTACTATCAAGCAACTAAGATACATGCAAACTATCTTAAGCAAAATGAAGAGTCAGCATGTCTGAGGGAAGAGTACCAAAGGCCATCAGAGGGAAGATGAAAGAAGATGCCACCACTATATAGAGCTCATCTGGCCAGAAGAGCCTTAGGGTCCACAGGATCAGGCCTACCCTGCAGGACCATTAGAAATAGGAAGGCTGTCATCAGAGTTTCCCTGGATCTAGTTTGGTAGAGAAGAAAGGCAATGCCAATGCAAGAGGAGACAGACTGTGAATGTGATGGGTAGGTGAAGAAAAATAGACCTTGTAAGTGGCCCAGCAAGGCTGACCTCCATTGGTTTAGGAGAAATATCGAAACATACAAAGCCCTGTGAAAATAAAGTCGTTTGTATTATCTGGAGCAAAGCCCTCGGCCGGCCCCCCTCTCCTCCAAGCTGCTGCTTGGGAAAACTTATCTCACTCAAACAATAAGCCCGAGATACCAAAAAAAAGTGGTGGGGAGAGGAAATGAGCAAATACTAACAAGAGCACCACCAGAGAAACATGTATAACAAAATGCCACTTTGGAAAAAACAAATGGAAAGTACTTCTGGAGCAACTGCTCTATAGGCAAGAATTTAGAGTTCAATGGAGAGAGAAGATTTCAAAGAAGACAAGAGTAGGAGAGGGCTGCCAGGATAGAACAAAGAAATGGAAGAGAAAAAGGAAAACGTGAGGAATGACAGTGGCCACATAGGGTCACATACATTGAAGCACCGGAAACGAGAAAGCAAGTAAACAGTGCTTGTAAAGGATCTAAGAGAAAGAACAAGATATAAAACGTAAAAGATGTCAAATATACACTTCTCCGGAGTCCCTAAGAAGAGTTGAAATAACCTGATTGTTATTTTGAATGTCAAGGGAAAAGATTAAGCCTTGTATCTATGGAGGGAACAGCATGAGATGTCTTCGCCCTTCTCCACACTTTTAATGCTAGTTCACTGTGATGCAAGAACGAAGTATGACATAATACCTTGATATCCAGGATACCCATCACAGGCCCGCACAGATGTGCCACAATTTGTTTAATTTTTGTTTAAATTTCCTGCTGTTGTCAGACACTAAAATGTTTCAATAGACTATCAAAAGGAAAAACAGCTGGCACCTAAGAGTGTATATGTTACCCGGAGTCAACAAACCACAGTTTGGCCCACCACCTGTTTCTGTTAATAAAATTTTATTGGAACATAGTCTTGTCCAGGCTTGGATAGTCTCTGGGAGAAAAACTGAGTAGTTGCATAGAGACTTTGTATGTATCAAAAGTCTGGACTCTGTGGCCTTTTCATGGTCTTCCAACCCCTGATACAAGCTCTCCCTGGAAGAACACACAAGAAATGGGCAACCCTGGGCAGCTCTACAGAGCAGGTCTGAGGGACCCTCAGATCCTGTGGCACCCTCTAAGTCTTGTACTATGTTTGTCACATCAGGACCAAGAGGAAAGGGAGAAAAGCTGTTCCTTGTTTCTTCACTTGGAAGCATCTGAGTACACAGTGCTACAATGCCCCCTTCAATGAAGAGGTGCCACTGACCATGACAAAATATCTCCCAAACAAATGATGAAAATCATCCTAAATAAAACTGTATTTAGAGTAATACTCTCTTTTCCCACATAGACTCAGTTCTAAAATATTTAAATAAACTCAATGTTCAATTTTTAAGAATTTTAAAATGTTCTAATTACAGAAAATAATTCATCAATGAATGTAAAGTTCAAAAAGAACCCACATCGGTTTGTATATGAAGCATGGCTATTAAACAATATTAAAACTAGAAGAGACTGCTTTCTGCCCTCCAACAAGATATTCTAAAATCAGATGTACTCTATTTAATCCTTTGCCAATATATCAACTTCAGTGAGGTCACATTTAACCTTACATCATGTGTGCAGTCAGTAATCTGAAGGCCATTAGTTATCCTGGGAAAACACCAATTTACCATTCTATATTGTATAGCTATTTAGTGGGAGTGTCCCCAGGTCCCTCCCCAACTCATCATGTAAAACAATCCTTCACTTTGATGTTCCAGTTCCACCTTACTACAATGGCAACGCTGCTGTTGCCCAAAGAACTTCCCAAGTATAGGCACTAAAGAGAGAATCACTATACCAGCAGATGCTTAAGCATTGGGGTGAAGGTCAAGTGTTCTGCTGTGCTGCTTTCTTTGTAGTTGGACCAACTAAAAGCTGCAGAGGTAAAGCCAGTCAGCACCTCTGTAAGTACACAGAACTGACACAAGCAGATTAGCCAAAGGTGAGGGTTCTCATAGACAGGTGTTCTCAGCCTCACTATAAAGAAGCACAGATTGGCTTTCTTTCCTCTCTGTCTGATCTGAGAAACTTGCACAAAGAATCTATGTACACCTATACATAGAAGCTCTATGAACTCCTAAAAGGTCTAATGGTGTTTCTACTTACAGACTTCATGGCCCTAGGGTTTCTACATGCATTTTTAGTTACCAGTGGCAAGTCTTTCAAACAATGTTACAATCAAGACTAAGTGGTAGTGCCATGAGTCATCCATGGCTTAAAAATCATAAATCATTCCATCCCATAGGGACATCACTTTGGAACTCACCGTGGTAATTCCAGCCACATCACCCAGGAAGGGGACCATTCACCAGGTAGAGTCATGTTGTGGTTGGAGTCCAGGGCCATTGGGCTGTTACAGTCTTCCTGGGGTTCATATTCTCTGACTTCCAAGGCTTTGAGTACCACGGAAGAGGATATGCTCTTCAGCAAGGCGACTGCCTCACTGCGGCTGACCTCTGTAAGCTCAATGCCATTCACATTCAGTAAAATGTCACCTGACAGGCAGAGAAGCAGAAGCACCATTAATGGATGCAAATGGATTTCTCCTTATTGTGCAAAAGGGCAAGAACAGATTGCATGCAAGATGTGGAGCAGGCAGGGCACCCTTCATTGACATGAAGCTGAGTTTTCCTACAGTTTATGGGAAACAGTCTTGTTGGAGGCCTTCTGAACCATTCTTATCAATATTTGACTCTTACTTTAAAAATAAGGAAGATAAATTTTTTGTCATATTATCAAAGAAAATCCACTTTAGCTTTTTGTTTTCTTTTCAGCAAAGTAGATGTACTTGACAAAGTGCCATACTTAAACAGCGATCAGCACATACAAAACACCCACTAAACACAGATTGAAGAATGACTATGAAACTACCTGTGACCTTATCTAACAGAGGATCTCAGAGCAGCCCGTGACCTTAAAGAGGTAGAAAAGAAGAGCCACATTTCCATTTACTGTATTCCTATGATGTGCAGAGCCAGCTTGACACCTACTATGTGTATGATGACTTCCACACTTCATATCCTATAATCTTCTAGTATGTTCTCTTATTGAACATGGGCTTCAATAGTCTCTGCTTAGGTGTGTACATAAAAGCAAAAGAAATTCAAACTCACACCTTTCTACTCTCACTTTCTATTCATCTTTTTGTTTTTCTATCTCCCATGCATAACATCTTTTCCATAAAGAATAACTATAGCAAGAACAAAAGGAAAGGAAGGAAAATGGAACCTTGGAAACCTCCCAATTATCTTGAGTCTGAGTCCTTAAAGGCACAACTGCTCACCCACCCAAGCTACCCCTGTGTATATGCTGACAATATTAGTAAGTATACGTATTTGTAGAGGTAAATGTGATATCACCTTCCTTCACTAAAAGTAGCCCCAAACACATGTGATTTATGTATAGGAGTGAAACACCAACTGAACAGCCCCCGTGGTATTTAATCAATGTCCATTAAATCCATCAATGATTTCTCCTAGCTCATGCACAAAATGGAACAAGTGATGAGTTTGTTTCCTTACTGGATTAACCCAGCAAAGGTCCACTTTGAACAAGTGAGACCAGATTATGCCATAGAGCCAACTGGCTCATAAGCAGCCATTGCCTATTAATCCTGAGAGCATTTGGAGGTTCTGGCTTTACTAGTAGACAACCCACAGCCATCTACCTACAGAGCTCAGAGGGTTGACCTCTAACTAGTCACGGACAAACAGAAGTGGATATCCTTGTTCAGTTGACTGTTACCTTTTGTCATTAAATTGGGAAACAGTTACTGATTTCTCTCAATACTATCATGAAAATGCCCCAGTTCTTTTTACCTGTTTTTATCCTTCCATCTCGGCTTATAACTCCTCCTGGCTCCACGCTGATGACGTAGATAGGTAAGTCCCATTCCCTGTGGGATGCTCCCCCTGCAACAGTCATGCCCAGAGATTCACTGGGGTCTTTATGGACACAAACCACCTTCTCATGACAAGTAGCTGCAGGGTGGAGGGGCTAAAGGGACACAGAAAAACATGGTAGATATGTTCAAAAGTGGATTTTCCATAGGCAACAATGACCAAAGTTATCTAAAAAGTACAAAGTGCAGCAATATTATGAAACACGTCGATCCACCGAGAACTGTCTTTTTGCAGCTCATCCGTTTCACGTAAGCTAACTCATAAAGTTTTATTTTAAAAAAAAATAGTAAAACCAAAGGCAGAAACCAGGAGAGAAATCCAAAGTCTATAAAGTGAGCTGTAAAGAACACCTGCTGGGCCAGCCGTTCCTGAAAGTGGTGTCAGCTCTTATCAGTCATGAATATCAGGAGTTGGATAAGATTTTTTTTTTAAATGATCTTATTTTATACAAAACCTCCTTTCGGAAGTGGCGCTGTAGCTCAAGTGGTAGAGCGCTCGCCTTGAGCTGAAGAGCTGAGGGAGGGTGCCCAAGCCCAGAGTTTAAGCCCCACAACCGACAAAAAAACAAAACAAAACAAAAAACCTCCTTTCAACTTTCTCCTTAGTATTTCCCAAAAAGCCCTGTCTGCACCGAACAAAGAGGTGCTCACAGGAGCACATAGGTGCTGAACACAGCGATAAATGGGCCACAAATTAGAACTTTGTCTACAGGCCTTGTGTCTTAAATGGTCATTTGCATTTCTCCCCAAAGAAGGATACCCACAGTAGAAACAGAAACCCCCAAGTCTGACTGTAAATTCTTCACACCCAGAATTGCACAACTTGAATTGAGGAGGAGGAAAGAAAGGCAGAGATAATCTTTACTATCTGTCTTTTCTCCTGACTCCCTAGTTTGGTTACCTCAAACTGTTCCCTAATGCTTAAAAGAAATTATGATGAAATAGCTTAAGCTGATAAAAAAATGATGAACAATCAAGCATTCATCAAGCAATAAAATATATACAATATTTGCTTTGGATTTTTAAAAACATTTGAAACATCTAGAAATGTAGAAAGTAGGACATTGTGACTGACCCAGGTACCTTATGACTCAAGGCAAGAAATAAATGTTTGTGGTTGAGAACAATGAATCTATGACTTCTTTTACTCAAGTCCCCACTTTTCTGCCAATGAGGTAATCACACCTAAATCTGGTATTCATTAGTCTTAACTTTTCAATTGGATAGAAGTATCTCTATTCCACAAACCCTGGCTTGAGTTACTTTTTTTTTTTTTTTTTGTCGGTCGTGGGGCTTGAACTCTGGGCTTGGGTGCTGTCCCTGTGCTCTTCAGCTCAAGGCGAGTGCTCTACCGCTTAAGCCACAGCGCGCCACTTCCGGTTTTCTAGTGGTTTATTGGAGATAAGAGGCTCACAGACTTTCCTGCCCAGGCTGGCTTTGAACCGTGATCCTCAGATCTCAGCATCCTGAGTACTAGGATTACAGGCATGAGCCACCGGCACCCGGCTTAAATTCTTATATTCAAAATGCCATGTTGTTTCCAAAATGCAACAAAATTTTAGTCAAAGCATAAACTAAGTCATCAAACATCTTTTATATATGCTACTTTTTTTTTGAAGCCAGTTTAGAAAACAGAACTACAAATGAAAAGAGTCAACAGTTTCCCAATAGATCAATGTGTAAGAGAGTAATTCCAGGAACTCAGACCCCCAGTTGAGAGTTGTGGCAAAGAACAGATTTACATTTTCTGTGACTCACATTGGGTAGGTGGAAGGAGTTATAAAACTGCAGTGTGGTAGAGGCCTCACTTTTGGTAGCTTAATGACTTAACATATTTACCTAACTAAAATCAGTTAAGTAGGTGAGAACGTTGGTTAAGCTAATACACTAGCCTTCCATAAATAAATACTATTAGTTTAGTTTAAACATGGTAATGGTATTAACAAAAAAGATACCAGGGAGCTTTTATCTTTAAAACTTGTAGCAGAATGTATTTTGTCTGTCTGGATTGCTTATTATAAATGAACATGGAATTTATGATTTATGGAGGTCTAGATGCCTGCAGAATAGGGTAGGGTTGGAATGTTAAGCTCTCAGTATAAAGTAGAGATTATGAAGTGAAAAAGTCAACCTTAGCTAGGTACTGGTAGCTCATGCTGTAATCCTAGCTACTCCCGAGGCTGTGATCTGAGGATGGCAGTTTGACGCCAGCTCACTCAGGAAAATCTAAGAGACTCTTATCTCTAATAAACTACTCCGAAAAAAGCCAGAAGTGGTACTAGGCTCAAGCCTTGAGCACAGAGGCTCAGGGACAGCACTCAGGCCCTGAGTTCAAGCACCAAGATTCCCCCTATTCCCCTCCCCCACAAAAAAAATCAACCTATGTCCTGTTGTGGAAAGAGAGAAAGGTATTTGTTTCTTTTTGCTGTTGCAAAAAATAGGTTACCTGTAGAATTTCTTGAATGTTTTCAGTTAAAGCACTGAAATCAGATCTTAGAGGAAATGACTGCTAGAGCACTAAGCTCAGGCTACACAACTCTTAATGTTTACTAAACAAGGTTTGTTGACAGTCATCTGAAAAGTTAAGCCATTGCTTCTAACAGAAGCCACAACCAGAAGTACAAATTAGGCCAAGTCACCCAATTAGGGAGAGGTGACAAACTGGTGTCCTGAAAGAAAGATGAATTCCATTCTCAATGCATTCTTCTGGGTCCAAAGTATTAAGGCATTTTTTTCTGAATTTGAATGTTACGTGCTCTCCAGCTAGTCTCAATCTCCACCACTCCCTGGTATCCTGTGAGCATCAAGTACTCAAAGGCTCCTTTTGGGCCCTTCTGCAAACTCAAATATTGAAAATAGGGGAGTCATCATTTCTAGACAGACTGGGAAACTAGAAAGCCAGAAACCAAGTAAACCTCTTGGCTCATTTCAAAGTGACTGGAGAACAATTCTTACATAGTCCTGACTCTGTAGAAACATGACATATATTTGCTCTAGACTAGAAATTTCATCCCCATCTATGAGGTCTGCATGGTCAGATTGCAAAACTTTCAACACCATCCTCATTCCTGATTGGGTGGTAGATACCTGCTACCTCATCAAGTCTGAAGATGACAAGGTCTAGAGATGACACTTGAAAATGTTACACTATGCAGCCTTCCCATAAAACATCTTCTTACAGAGCTGTAAGCGTGCCTGCCTGGGCCTCACCGTAGGAGCATTGTTCCTCTCCTCCAGGCCTGGGGACCAGCTGCCACTGCTGACCCAGCCGGCTTCCTGAAGAATGTCCGGACTCTGCTGTCCCACCTGGCGGGATACAACCAGGTGAACACGCCTTTCACTGGCCTGTGTGGGAAGACACAAGAGTTAGCCACACCATACAGCTTCCATACAGAGCACCTGGCACCAGGTGGTAACTTTGGTTGTGCCTTTCTTCCTTCCTTTTTAAGTGGACAAATATTGATTGTAACCCACTTAACTCCTTTCTCTCTCTCTCTCCTTCCCTTCCTTCCTCCCTCCCTCCCTCCCTCTCTCCCCTCCTTTCTTCCTTTTCTTCCTCTCTCAATACTTGAGATTGAACATAGGGCCTTTGACATGTTAGTCAAGAGGTCTACCATTTCTAGTATTTATGTCATCCTATAATTTGGCAACAGCGTGAATTATTTCTTTTAACCTTAAACCAGATAGTGGGAATTGCTCCAAGACAAAATCTAGGGAAGTTAGGCTTGTGTAAGTCACAGAAGAGCCAGGTATAGATAATGCTGAGTATTTTTTTGGTCAGTCATGGGGCTTGAACTCTGGGCTTGGCTGGGCACTGTCCCTGAGCTCTTCAGCTCAAGGCTAGCGCTCTACCACTTGAGCCACAGCACCACTTCTGGCCTTTTCTGTTTATGTGGTGTTGAGGAATTGAACCTAGGGCCTCATGCATGCAAGACAGCTCTCTACCACTGAGCCACCTTCCCAGCCCCATGCTGATGTATTTTTAATGAATGACTCAACTCCATACAAGCATTAGAATCTGGATGGAATAAAGTGCACAGGGTAAAGCAGTAGCTCAAAGGTTTATGATGAACGGTGAACATTAAAGAAAAAGAAGTAGGATTAGTGACAGTAACCCTGTCATTGTAGGAAGGGAAATCCTGTGTCTGACCATCTTAAAGATTCAGGCATTGGAAAGGTAAGGACTTACGTTAAAATATAGTTTAGTTAAAGTTATTGCCTTGCCTAATTTTTATGACTTCCACTAATTCTGATGACTATGTACATTGATACTGAACAGCATTCAGAATAGCAAGAGATTGCTTATTGCAAAGATCTACTCCACATAGTAAGTCTACAGTTGATTTCTGCAATAGATCAAGTTCATGTATGTTTGGTTATTATAGACTGGCTGACTGCTCAGCTTTCAGATCAGCAGTACAGACAGATTAGACCTGAGCTCGTGAAACTTACAGAAATAAGACTCTGTGACAATCCAAGCTGAAGTGGCCAGCTATTACGTTAGTAAAAGTTTGTAATAAAGAAGCATAGCTAGATTTCCTTAGAAAGGTCCCCAAGGTCTGGAGACAAAGATGGAGAAAGGAAAAATAAGATCTAGTGGTTCCTCTCCTTGTCCAATTCTTGACTGCTTATCACCACAACAGAGACATGACCTGCCTACCTCCTTCCTTCACAGTTATGGTTTAGGGGCCATGGGAAAGTCAGGTCCTGAGAGGATTGCACACCAAGTCTTTGCTCTTCATTAGCTCCAACAATGGGAGTTGAAGTACCTGTTTTCTACCCACCATGGCTGAATGTTTCAGTCTCTTCAGATTTCATATATTAAAATCCTAATCCCGAAGAGGATGGTATCGATGGCTAAGGCCTTTGAGAGATAATTAGGTTATGATAGGCGAGCCATCATGAGAAGGATTAGTGCCCTTACAAAAAGCATAAGGGACAGGAATCCTAGCTACACAAGAGGCTGCAATCTGAGGGTCATGGTTTGAAGTCAGCTCAGGCAGACAAGTCTGTGATTCTCTTATTTCCAGTTAACCAGCAGAAAGCTGGAAGTGGAGGTGTGGCTTAAATGGTAGAGTCAGGTTTGAGCAAAAAAGCTAAGGGAGAATGCTAGGTCCTAAGTTCAAGCTCCAGTATCAGTCACAATTTTTTTTAAAGGCATAAGAGGACTTGGAATGTGGATTAGTGGTAGAGTGCTTGCCTAACATGCATGAAGCCCTGGGTTCAATTCCTTAGTACCACATACACAGAAAAGGCTGGAAATGGTGCTGTGGCTCAAGTGGTAGAGTGCTAGACTTGAGCACAAAGAGGCTCAAGGACAGTGCCCAGGCCCTGAGTTCAAGCTCCAGGACAAGCAAAAACAAAAGGCTTTATGACTATTTCCTACTACTTGAGGACACAGAGAGAATATTCCACCTATAAGAAAGGGGTCATTCACACGTTTTGAGTCTATCAGCATCTTGATCATTAGAACTATAAATGGTGGCTCACATCTATATTCTTAGCTACTCAGGAGGCTGAGATCTGAGGATCAAGGTTCCAAGCCAGCCTGGGTAGGAAAGTCCCTGAGAGTCTTATCTCCAATTACGCATCAGAAAGCCAGAAGTAGCATTGTGGCTTCAAGTGTTAGAGTGGTAGCTTTGCGTGAAAAAGCTCAGGGACAGTGCTCAGTCCCTGAGTTCAAGCTTTACAACAACAAAAAAGACTTTTTGTCTTTTCATTGACTATTTTCCCTCCCTCTTATATCTCTCCCTATTTCTTTCCTTCTCCTTTTCTCCATCCTCCTCCCTCTCTTTCTCATCTCCGTCCTCCTCTCTCCTTTCCTCTCTTTCTCTGTACCCCCTCTCTACTTAAGTACTGAGGATTGTAGGTATAAAAACCATCATGCCTGTCAAACAACTTAATATTTTTATGAGAGTAGTTTTGACCTTAGAAAAGTCTCAGAGATCCCACAAAAAAGCTGGGATTGGAGCTGTGGCTCAAGTGGTAGTATGCTAGCTTTGAGCAAAAGAGCTCAGGGACCATGCCCAGAGCTGGAGTGCAAGCCTCATGACAGACAAAAAAACAACAACTAAAAGATTTCTGTGTTTGTGCATGTATATGTATACATCTATATGCACAGCTATATATATATATACTATAGTGTAAATTTCTGTGTATATATACTAAATACATAGTATATATATCATACATTATTTATACACATACATAGTGTACATGTACAACAATTATATACAATAAATGTTTATATATATACACATATTTACTATATATGATAAATATATACACTATATATAAATATCAGTCCAACTGGATGTCTTATCTTCCTTCTAAGAACAAGACTCCCTCACCTCAGGAACTGGAACCCTGTTTATTAAATATTAAACAATAAAAAGCCAATGAGCTCATGAAATCCTATCCACACAGCTGTCCAACAATGACCATGGATTTGCATTCTTATATTTATTAATATAAGGAATGTTTATTAACATTCCTGATCTAGGTTCTCTGGAAACACAAGGGTCAGTTGAATAGTTGTAAATCAGATGAACTTTAAGACAAATTGCTAACATGCAGCAAGAGTATTGATTATAAATTCCACAATACATGGTTGGCCAGCTGGAGTCCTTAGAGAATTTTCCTTCATCCACAGCCCTGTCATCACATTCAACCTTGCTCAGTCATCATTTACATGCCCTGTCTTTGCCTGCCTATCTTGTATTCTGGTGTTTCTCATCACATATAAAGCCTGTGTCAGAATAGAACCAAACCAGCAAGCTCAGGAAATCATAATGAAGAAATCTGACAAGTAGAACTCTGGTATTAGCCAATTACATTCAATTCTTGGAAGAAAATTGCATAATAAGGGTTTTTTTGGGATGGCAAGCTTCACTTATCCAGATAAGGTTATCTTAAGAAACTTTCTGAAGTAAAAAATTACTAACAGATAAGCAGCAGCAAACATTTCAGGTCAAAACTTCAAACATGGAGCCTGAATTCACTCTCTTATCTTTGGGGGAAAATCCATTGTTTTGCAAGCGTTGGCAGCTGGTTTGTCTTTGGCCTGCTTACATATCCTATCACATTCATTTTGGACAGGAAGCATCCACATGATGCTCCCAACACCTCTTAAGAACTGTGAACATTTGAGACTTACACATCAGGTCAACCTGCCAGGCCAAAATCCACATTGCCAAGAGCAGCCTGCAAGAGCTATTTAATTCATACAAGCACAAATTTCTCACTGGGCTTTCCATGCTGGCTCTAGTATTAAGGTGTTGGCAGGACTAACACTCTAATAAATAATCCTGGTATCAATTTACTTGGAAATAAATTCTCTGCAAGGCTGGATCTGTGGCTTTTACCAGCCACCTTGTAAATTGCTCACTGGGAGACTATTTGATGTATTTTCTTTCGTTGTGTTTGAAGATAGAAAGGTGGAAAATGGGCTAATGTGTTTGTCCTGGCTCTAACTTTCAGAGCATCTGGAATGAGGGTAAAGAAACAAGTCTTCGGGCCCAGTCTTCTTTTCCATTGGTGTGAATGTGGTGTGCGCGTGAGAAGGGGCCATGGTTGAAGCGCAAAACAACCAAAAGAGAGACTGATTCTTAGTTTCATACAACTTTCCAGGAAAGTGGAAACAAGAGGCTTGTCATTTCCACCACCAACAGTGGCAAAGAGGGCCAGTGATAACTATGGGCAAAGCAAAAGTTGACCAAGAACCTGGATGCCGAGAGCAAGCTTCTTCCCTAGACCAGGGCTTCTCCTGCTCCTTCATAAAGGAGGACTGCAGTTCAAGTGAATGCATCTCTGCTGCTTTTGTGGAGAAACCTGTAAATGTTTAAATAGACTCCTTAACCTACACTGAATGGATGCATTCATTATGTTTCTTCTTTGTTTTTTTTTTTCGTTATGTTTCTTGTATTAACTTTATAAACTTTCAAGTGAAGAGTCACCAACCACTCCACAAGACCACAGGACACCTGACAAGGAGGTATCCACATTGATATCAAGTACCAAGACTTTGTCACTTAGAGTAGACAGACCATGAACATGGCTCTTTCTCTACGACAGTCTAGGTCCTTGGGCAACTTATACATGAGTGGGTGGTGCTTTAATGCCAATGGATGAGATCCAGAGTGTGATTTATAATATCAACTGCTGAGAGAGCTGCTCTGTCCTTAAAGTTATATCCATAATAGCACAGATTTAAGTGACTTGAGACAGGTTCTTGCTATGGAGTCCAGGCTTTGTCTGAGACTCATGATTTTCCCACCTCTGCCTCCTCATCTTCCTACTGTCTCCAATGTGTCAGTCATCTCAAGAACCAGAAGAGCTCCTGCCTCAATCTACTAAACAGGGCGGAAGTGGCAGTATAGAATGGGGCTGATATGATGCATTCCAGTCTAACAAGCAAAGTGAGGTATTTTTGGTGACGCCAGCTGCCATGAGATTCCCACTTTGCTATTTCATAAGGATATTTTTCTGTGGGGCCAAGAATCTCATGGCTACCTATCTTCATCATAGCTGAATCCATAGCTGGGCTGCATCACAGCAGACCAGCCCACTTCTGGAACAAATGAGATGGCACTCAGACCTTACACAGCAAGACTGACAAATGAATGCATTTGAATTGGATTTTAAGGTGGAAAGATACTGAAGCCATTGGTCATTCCTGTTGTCTGATAGCCAATGGGGTGTGGGAATGAAGTCTGTGAGTGAAAAAACCTCTGGGGGAGAAATCATAGGCTTCAGAAATATAAGTCCAGAATAAACTAACAGTGATATAAGTGTATATTCCCTACAAAATAAGCCTGGTGAAAGTCAACATGGTATGACTTGACTTGTTTACCATGAGAATGTCAGCACCTAGCACCATGCCTGTGTCACGTTATAAAAGGAATTTGTGTCTATATTCTGCCTGAGAGGTGGCAGCTCCTTCAGCGAGCTAAATGTGATCAGCAAAAAGGAAATTAGGGAGACTTTGAGGAAAATGCTGAGAAGACCTTAGGATTTAACTAGAAAAGGAGAATTGGGACAACAATTTGGTCTCTTTTTCCCACTAGATGATAACTCCATGTTTATCCTTACATTCCAAGAAGCACATGTCTTTTAGGGGTTAGAACACTAATGATGGGAAGAGACACTGTGGCTCAAGTGGTAGAGCAGTAGCCTTGAGTACAAAGAGGTTCAGGGACAGTGCCCAGGCTCTGAGTTCAAGCCCTAGGACAGGCAAAACAACAACAACAACAAAACCAAACATACAGTGAAAGAGAAAGAAAGGAAGGAAGGAAGGAGGGAAGAAGGGTAGGAAGGAAGGAGGGAAGAAAGGAAGAAAACTAATGACGGTAATGCAAGTGGCAATTCCCACAACCTTACACAGAATGTCTCTCTTTCCCCTGTGGTATCTATTGTGGAGATTCAGGATTCATTCTGTCCCATGGTAAAACAACAAGCATGTGGGGATATATGCCTTGGAGAGAGGGCAGTGACGTTTCCAGGCCCTTCACACTCAACAGCATTAGAGCTGTGCAGAAGGTTCATTCTTGTAAAATTCCAAGATGAAAAGTCTTTCCTTCTCAAGAACATGTCAAATTTGGAGCCCCATGTAACAGTCATCTGGACTTTGAGAATTCAGCTCAAGGAGATTTAAGGATGTGTGTACAGTTTAGTCTATGTGTATTAAATTGACCACAGTACCATGGTAAGATAATTTATCTAAGTAGGGATTGGATTCCATTACTAAGCTGGGCTGATTTGTAAAACACACACACACACACACACACACACACACACAGAGACCTGGCAGGTCCTCTTTCACTGTGGTTCTTATTGGCTCCAAGGGATTTGAATGTTTAACTTCCCACCAAATTTTTACTCTTTCCCGCCCCCAGGTCTGCAGCAGAATCACAAGTTGGGATCATGTTTTTAATAACATATACAGGTAATGCAGTAAAGTGTTATTTTGCTTTTTGAATCTATTGAAAGCCCTATTACCTTCTTTTTAAAAGTTTGAAGAGGCAAGCTTTCTGTTGCTTCTCATTTAAATATTATTTAATCTTCCAAACAACTATCATATATACTTGATATTGGCCTCTTTTTTTTCTGACCATTTCTACAAATGGCAATGCATTTTTTTTCTGCATAAACTCTATGGATTACCTGAAAACACAGTCATTCTAGTAATAGTACTAAAAAAACCCGAGAAATAAACAATGGTGAAAATCAAGTCATATTCTCTAAGCTGCTGTAAGCAAGTCAACTGCTGTTTGTGGGAAGGTTTCTTTTCAGCCAGGCTGGACTGTTCATCTAACACTGGGTCTGATGACTCAAGGCTGTTGCTCAATAAGCTGAGGGTAGGGCTCAACATATGTAAAGTTGGTCAAATTTATAACAGTTGTGGCCTCTCTGTAATAACTCTTCCTTGAAGTAATGTAGAAGAAAAGCAGAAAGTGTGGTACAGTGGGAGAGACCATGACCAAGAGGACATGTTGTCTGGGAATTTCTTTGTAAGGCAAATGTGATTCATGGCGGAGACATACAAGGAAGGGCAACATAGCCAAGGACTGAGTGGAAATTTGAGTCTCAACCTTTGAAGGGTATTTAGTTTAATCCTTCTAGCCTGGTATGTGTTACCAGTATCACATAAATAAAATCTTCTCTTCTGAAACAGCAAGATATTGCTTAGCTGAATTCTTGCAACATTCTTTTTTCTATTTATTTTTCAACTAGCTTTGCCCTAGTTTTTCTTCTTTTTGAGGAAAAAAAAATGTTTTTACCCCCTCCTGTTTATAAAGTACATTAGCTTTGTTTACTAAGCAAAAGGATCTTTGAGGAATTCTCACTGTTAGGCAAGATTTAATTTCATAAATTGACTTTCTCAGGGGAAAACCGCTCTTCTGTTATTAATCTAAAAAAGTAGAATGCCACATGTAATTAAGATTTTTCCAAATAACATGAGGAAGACAGTTTTTCTGTTGCCTTCCCGTTGCAAGGAACCCTTGGCCGATTATCTCCACAATGTGAACTGTACCAGCAGAAGGCGCTAAAAAGCATAATCTGAAAAAAAAAAATCAATAGTTCCTAAAATCTAGTTTGTTTGTTTTTTTGGGGGCCCGGTTGTGGGGCCTGAACTCTGGGCCTGGGCGCTGTCCCTCAGCTCTTCAGCTCAAGGCTAGCGTTCTACCACTTGAGTCACAGCGTCACTTCCGGCTTTTTTTCTTTTTGCTTATATGGTGCTGAGGAATCGAACCCAGGGCCTCAGGCATACAAGGCAAGCGCTCTACCACTGAGACACCTTCCCAGCCCTAAAATCGAGGTTTTAAAGAGAGGGGAAAAGCCAGCCAGGCGCTGGTGGCTCTTACCAGTAATCTTAGCTACTCAGGAGGCTGAGATCTGAGGTTTGTGGTTTATAGCTGGACCAAGCACAAAAGGTCCTATCTCTAATTAACCAGCAAAAGGCTGGAAGTGGAGCTGCGGCTCAAGAGTGGTAGACCACCAGCCTTGATTGGAAAAACAGAGTAAGAGTACAAGGCCTTGAGTTCAAGTCCCCATATATACAAACAATAAAGAGGAAAAGAAATTCATCCATGAATGACAGTTCCTTCAAGACGAAAAACTAGTTTCTTTCTTTCTTTTTTTTTTTTAAACAGGTATGTCTGTTTCACACAGTCTATTTTGTGTTCTGAGTCCCTGCCACACTTATGGTAGTACCATCGGCTTTATGCTGACTGTGACATTAGGACAAGAATATAATTCATGCTCTGAGTGGCCAAATAGTTCACCACTGTACTGAGTATGGCTTGCACATAGAAGCTGCTCGGCCAATGCTAATTGAACAAATTCAAAGGGACTAAAAGTAGAGGTTACAACTTGGGGAGAAATAGCAAGTATTTCATGTTCTTTGGCAAATAGTTTGATAACAAATCCCTATGAGACTGAATTAATGCATAACATGTATTTTGTATCTATGTACATAATATAGATGCTAATAGTTTGACTGCATTTATTAATGCAACAATATTTAAAAAATAATAAACATTTATTTACTGAACGCCTACTCCTGCCAGACATTGCTCTAAGTGCTTGAGATATGACACATTACTGTACAATACTATACTAGACTGGCAGGTAACCATAAATTAGTTGATTTTTTTTAAAGCAGGTATAGATAGGGGTTTGTGCACACATTTTTGCACATGTGCAATGTGTTGAGGGAGACTGTCAAATCATTGGCTTGAGTAAGATTCTGACTTGCACAGAAGCTTTAAAGACTCCAGCTCTTTTCTCCCTGGAGAAGGAGTCACCACATGTACATGTGGAAGCCTGCTCATGTTGGGGTTTCTGACTGGGGTCTTAAGAGTGACCTGTGACCCACCTGAATCAGATGAGCTGCGCTTTCCGGGCTGCCATATCGAAGGTCATGTCCATTAATGGCCAGCACACGATCATTCTCCTCCAGCTGGCCGTGCCGGTCTGCCACACCCCCATCCAGTACACTGAAGATGAACACCCCGGGCTCATCCACCCTGCGCACCAGTTTTATTCCCAGCTGCTCCTCAGGGCTACTTTTGTTGAGAATCACATGGAAACTGTCATCCCGGGGTCCATAGGTATCCAGTGCCTGCCCAGTGCTCCTGCTTCGGAACTTCTGCTCGCGCAGCACAGTAAGCCGAAGCACCTGGCAGGGCTGGCGCAAGAGACGCAGGGCATAATTGTGAGGGACGTTACTGATGTCCATCCCGTTGACCTGGGGGAGGAAGAATCATATAGTCAACTCCACAACTCTGCCTAAAAGACCCAGGCTGCCATGTGCGCCAGACCCTGGGTTCATCTCCAGCACCACAAACAGTATAACCAGTCTTGCTTCAGAGACTGCTATGTTCTCTTTCCTAATCCTGCGACCTAACAGCTCCATCCCCTACCAGTCCTTTCTAGGAACACACATTTATGTGCACAGTCTTGAAATAGGAAATATGAATTGCATATGTCTGAATATGTATGTTTATGCATGTGTTTGTAAGTATGTTAGAGTATAGGTATGTTTGAGGGCAAAACTTTATCTCAGTGAGTGAGTGTGTGAGAGACAGAGAGAGATAGATGGAGAATATGTCAGGTATCACAGTGGTTGTCTGCAAAGCATTTGCTCATGTTTCTAACAAAAGAAGGAAAAAAGTGGGCTGGGAAGGTGGCTCAGTGGTAGAACGCTTGCCTTGCATGCTTGAGGCCCTGGGTTTGATTCCTCAGCACCACATAAGCAAAAAAAAAAA